TCTAGTGAAGAATGTAGATTACAATTGGACCTGTGTGAAATCCAAACACAGTACTCTTTTTAAGGTGAACTAATAGCCTGAAATCAAAAGTAAAGACATAGATATATAGATTATATATATATATATAGATATAGATTATATATATATGCATGTATGTATAAAGATTTAGCTCAAGGAAATGGCTCATGCAGTTGTGTAGGCCGGCAAGTCCCAATTCTGTGGGTCAGGCATCTGGCTGGAGGCTTCTCCTGACTCATGTGGTTGCAGGGGCTGATGAATCCCAAGTCAGCAGATCAGATGACAGGCTGCTGGCCCATGGGGCTGCGGAGGCTGGTAAACTCCAGAATTGGCAGGCTACTTGCTCAAGTCCCAAGAACCGGAGGATCCAGAGCAAGAGTAAGCTTTGTCAGAGAGTCCATATATATTGGATGTAGGTCACACCCTCAAGAAGTCTCCCCTTACATCAGATACTTGAGTAAGGTTGTGTCTTGAGTAAGGCTGTGACTTGAGTCATGCCCTTTAGTAAGGGCATGACTCAAGATACACCCCACACTAATCCTGTATTATTAACATATAGAGGTTTAGGATTTACAATACATAGAATGGAGGATAATTACCACAAAATGGAGGACAATTACATCAGACCACAAAATGGAAAATAATTACACAATATCGGTACTCATGGCCTAGCCAAGTAGACGCATAACATCAACTATCACATATATAATCAAAGATGAGACAACACTATAGGATAAAACTTGATGAAATTTGTTTGTCTTGCTCTTTAATTCTAGATCTTACTTTTCCCCTCTTCATCAGACTAAAAAGGTGAAGCTGAATTCATTTTACATAGAAATGATTGCTACATGGGCATAAACACAGTCTGGAAACTCATAAAACTCATATTTTTACATATTTAATTAATGCACTTAAGACTGTTTAATGCAATAATATTTCTTAAGTTTTTTAAATTTATTCTAGCAAGGAGAAATAGCAAAAATATGAAAAGTATAATTGTGGAATAAAGCATTTTTTAATGAAAACTTTGCATAAGTTTTCGTCAGAATAAAGTGCTTATTAAAATCATGTTAGTTTAATGATTATCATTTATTAAACAATCTTAGATGCTGATTTCTATCATCATTATGACCTCTGTTAGGCCCCAGTGAGGTGTTAAAGCTTACCTTTGAGCCTGGAGGGGGAGCCAAGCCAAGGAACGAATATATAATATTCTCTTCTTTGGCAGAGAAGAAAGAGTCGAAATCCTGGAAACAAAGAAAAAGAATGTATAAATTCATTGCACACGTGTGAGCCAGCATATTTACCTAAATTGATCTTTTTTATTCATTAGTTATTAAGTTAGGAGCTAACACAAAAGGTTATCCCAGGTTGCTCAGTCAAAAATGACTAATCCCAAAAGTTAAGAAATTTAACCGTGAACTTTTCATTTGTTTGTATACACTTTCATTGTGCCTACACAGTGCAGTGAGAATTCACGCGCACGCGCACACACATACGTGCACGCATACACACACATGCACACACACAGGCACACAGCTACCCATATTCAGGAATTACTGACAAGTCCCAGATATACACAATAAAAGGTTTTTTGAAAAGTTTTACATCATCAGCTTGTTTACCTGTAATTTTGCCCACTGGATTTGGATCCTGCTCAGCCAAGACTAAGACAACACAGGAATTCTCTACTGCTATTTCAGTAGCAGAAGGTCCCTGGGTGGTGCAAACAGTTTGCAGTTGACTACCAACAGAAAGGTTGGTGGTTCGAACCCACTCCGTGGCGCCGCAAAAGAAAGGCCTAGCAATCTGTTTCCATAAAGATTACAGCCATTGAAAACTCTGCGGCGCCCAGTTCTACTATGTAACACATGAGGTCTACATGAGTTGGAATCAACTTGATGGCAACTGGTTTGGTATTTTTTTGGTTTTATTATAGTGGCTGGAGTCCCTGGGTGGTGCAAATGGTTAACACACTCGGCTGCTAACCAGAAGGTTGGAGGTTCGAGTCTACCCAGAGACACCTCGAAAGAAAGGCTTGGTGATCTACTTCCAAAAAACCAGCCATCTAAGGCCCTTTTGATACCAGGACCCATGGAATCATGGAAGACTTAGAGAAGGGCTTGTGTTGGCAAAACGGGAAAACCTGTGGTGTGATCTAAAGCCTGGTAATGAACTGAAATCTGGTGCTCAGGGACACTCTACCCTGACCCCAGCCCCTAGCCAGGGGTCAGCCCTTCATCAGGTTAGCCCAGCCCTAAAACAACTCCCCAGTAGTGTGGTTGCCAATAGCTCTCAAGAGTTTTCTTTTTTATAATTAAAACATAAGAGATACTTCCCCAGAGTACTTAATCACTGCCAATATTTTGTTATCTGGGCTGTAATGCACTTTCAACAGTTTTTGAAAAAGAGGAGTTTGTCTTGTCTAACTTGCCATTTCTGAACAGGACAACAATCAACCAACTCAGTTGCATTATTGCCTACCCTCCTCTTTTTGTGTGTTGTTCTCAGTTGCCACCGAGTTGGTTTTGACTCATGGTGATCCCATGTATACCAGAACAAAACACTACCCGGTCCTGTGCCATCTTCATGACCATTGGTATGCTCTAGTCAGTGGTGCAGCCACTGTGTATTTTGAGTGCCGTCCAACCTAGGGGGCTCATCTTCCGGTGCTATAGTGAACAGTATTATGGTGTGATCCATACGGTTTCTATTGGCTAATTTTTGGAAGTAGAATAACAGGTCTTTCTTCCTAGTCTGTGTTAGTCTGGAAGTTCTGCTGAAACCTGTCCACCATGATGACCCCACTGGTATTTGAAATGCCAGTGGCATAGCATCCAGCATCACAGCAACACACAAGCCATCACAGTATGACACACTAACAGATGGGTGCTTAAGAAGCTTAAAACCAAAAGCAGGTCATAGTTATTGGGTTTACAGGAAGAAAATGCTGGCATTCCTGTGTGTTAATCTTATCCAAAGCTTTATTATTTTCTTAACTGTTGTCCGAATTCCCTTAGTGATTAATTTTATTCTTTTATACTAAATGCATTTTTGTAAGCCACCTCAAATCTTAGTTGGAGGGACTACAGTATCATGGGTAAGTACAGGAACTTTGGTATCAGTCAGAAATTCTAATCGATTTCCAGAGTACTCACTTACTAGGTGTTATTAATGTACTACATGGGATAATACATTATTAGTATAGCAATAAATAGTTGAAATGTAATAAAGTAAATTTATGCTGTATTCCGAAAAATTCCATGCATAAATATAACTTCTCTAGTTTGCCAACTCTAGTAGCTTTCAAGTCACGAAATGTTTTGCTATAGTTGAGTGAATTCTCTTTTGTCTCAATTTAAGTCTAAATATCTTCTTCAGAATTTCAGAGGGCTAAAAAACAATTTATCATTATCTTTGACTTGATGCTAACAAATAGATATAGAAAGCAATAAGTATGTTTTTTTAACTTCCAGTTCTGTCAAAAAGTACAAATACCTTGCTGGGTTGGCACAAAAGGAAAGACTATAACCAAGTGAGAGTACAATCCTGAAATAAGCACACACCAAGGTCAGCATTCACACTAAGAGTTTCTAACAAACCCAGAACATCTTTAGCTTTCACTTTGATGTTGCAGAGGTTAAAAAAATAAAGTTCAGGGCCTACTTAGCAACCCCGTGCACAACTGACCAAAATGCCACCCAGTCCTGCACCATCCCCATGATCGGTTGTGAATCAGACCATTGTAATCCATACGGTCTTCACTAGCTGATTTTTGGAAGCTGATAAGTAAGCCTCTCTTCTAAGCCTTATTTCAGTTCCACTGAAACTTGTTCAGCATCATAGCAACATGCAAGCCTCTACTAACAGACGGGTAGTGACTGAGCATGAAGTGTACTAGCTGGGAATTGAACCCAGGTCTCCTGCAGGGAAGGCAAGAATTCTACAATTGAACCACCAATGCCCTCAACAATGTAAAGATAAATGAGAAATAACTTTGCCATGCAGATAAGAATAGAAAGGAAACTTGCCTGACTCAACTTTGGTGCTGAGTGGAGAAGAAAACATTCTTCTCTGAGAATTCATAACCACAAGCCAGAATTCGTGAGGGTTCGTGGTACAAAATCCCATGACATATGGCGTTCAGAAAAACTTAAAAAGAAATTTTAATTTGAAATAGTTCTGGCTTTATAGATCCCCCAGGACACCAGCAGAAACAAATTCCAAGCCTCAAAGAATATCTATAAGTAAGTTTAAAAATCTGAGAAGTTCAGATTCAAAAATCACAAAATAAATAAGAAAATAAAATGACCCCATGAGTGAGGACCAAGAGAAATCACAAAAAGCAGAATCATATATTGGAATTATTAGACAGAGAATATCAAGTCTCTATATTTACTATAGTTAAAGAAATGAAGTAGAAGCTTGAAAACACAAGAAATAAACAAGAAACCAGAGAGAACAATCAGAAATTTGGAAAAGAACTTCTAGAAATGAAAAAATGTAATAACTGTAATATAAAACCCAATATGTGGGAGAGTCAGATGCTTCGTGTCATCCCTCTTACAACAAAGACGCGAAAAAACAAGTGAATCAAATATATATGACAATCTAGGAACCCGAATCATCAAAGACAAAGCTGAAGAATCAGACTGAGCATCAGGTGGAAGGAAAGACAATTAAAACACATTAGAAATGGGGAATTATGGATTGTGGGACACTGGCATCCTGCTAGCTGAACCTGCACAGTGCACACGGGCTGAGGCAAGCAGAAACATCCCAAGCTGAAACCCACCCCATCTGGTGCAGCCAAGCAACAGCAAATCTACATGTACCTCCAGAACCAAACAGGAGTGACACCAGATTTGAGACAGTTAAGTGCAAGCTCCCAACCCACCATGCACACTGGCACCATAACCATTCCCCCTACCAAAGCTACATTGCCAAGGAGCACTCCGTTCCCCTCACGCATCCCCCACCCTGCTCCAACACCAGTCCTGTGGCACTCAGCAATGCCATGCTACCTAAGCTGGGAACTCACCGCTAGGTCCAGAGGCACCCACTCAATCACCCATCCACTAGCGGAGGGTGTCCACAGACTTGCAGTGCCCTTCACCCCTGCCCCAGTGCCTTGCGGGCTGATCCAACATCGCACACCCTCATTAGGACAAAATGGGCAGGGTATCCACCTGAAGCCCATTGTCACCTGCAACAGCCAAGTAGGAGTTGCAGATTTGTGACATTCAACACCACCCCACCCCCTAAGAAGGGTCTCACCCACCCACCCTGAGGGTTGGCAGTACCACCCACTCCATCTATCCATATCATAATCAAACTTGCCAAACCAAAGACAAAGAATTCTGAAAGCAGATAAGGATAAACTAAAAGTCACCTACAAAGAAGAACCAATAAGATTAAGCTCTGATTAGCCAGCAGAAACCATACTGGCAAGAAGGCAATGGGATGACATACACAAAGCCTTGAAGGAAAAAAATTACTAGCCAAGAATTATATATCCAGCAAATTTTCTCTCAAATGTGATGGCAATATTAGGTCATTTCCAGATAAAAGAAATTAAGGAAATTTGTAAAAAAACAGACCAAAATTACAAGAAATATTAAAGGGAGTCCTCCAGTTAGAAAACCAACAACATCAGACAACAATCCAAGACTAGAAAACAGGAAAGATCAACCAGATACAATCCAGATAGGGACTTTACAAAAAGAAATCAAACCTATAAGACTAAAAGTAGGGAACCAGAGACATCAATATGTAAACAATGACAATGTCAAAACAAAAAAGAGTGAATACACAGTGTCGTCATAGAACTTCCACACGGAGTAGAAGTAAAGGCAATATCAAGAAATAAAAGACTGGTTTAAACTTAGAACAATAAAGGTAAATTTCCAGGTAACCACAAAGGGTGCTAACAAACCTACCCATTAAAATAAAAAGAGGACTCTTGGGTGAAAGGTGAGACAGTACATAATACAGGAGAAACTAGCACAACTTGTACAAGGAAAGGTCATGGAAACCCCACAGACACATCCAAACTTCCTGAGGGACTGAATTGCTGGATAGAGGGCTCTGGGGACCATGGTCTCAGGGAACATCTAGCTCAATTGGCATGACACATCTTATAAAGACAATGCTCTACATTCTACCTTGGTGAGTAGTGTCTGGGGTCTTAAAAGCCTGTGAGCGGCCATCTAAGATACTCCACTGGTCTCAT